GAGAGCAGGCAAGTGACGAAATGTACACTCACCTTCATTCCAAGCTGAGCAGCTTTAATTGCAGCCACATAGCCACCTGGACCTGCACCAATGACGACTATGTCAGCTTCTGAAAAGTGCTACGTATTACACAAAAATACTAAAAGAAAAACTGAGCATGAAAAGTGTCGTACCTTGAGCCCCGCTAAATGAACGACTCAGAATTGAGAAGATCGCTCGTTTCGTCAAAGGAGCTAAAGTCGTTCTAGCTAGTGACATTTTTACCTGAAATTAGGGAGAACATACAATGTGATAAGGAATTTTGAGTTGAAACGGACGACTGGCACGTCGTAGTGGACACTATGGGCAGTTACCAGAATCTCAGAGTATGCGTAAAAGGACCAGTACATTCCTAACAATCAAAACTGTAAGAGCGCGTTCACACTTTGCGGCAGCGTTTTCGGCCAGCGTCCCGAGCTATTGGGAAAGCATAGGTATCGATCCAGCGCCTTGAGCGTCCGCCGGCGTTTTGAGCGTTTAGAGAAGCAGGGTATCGATCTAAAGTTTGAGCGTGCCGGTGTTCGCGCGACCACCAGCACTGTAAACGGCAGTCGATATCTGTACTTTCCTGTTCGCACGCTGACGCTAAAAATGCTGGTGGACGCTCAAAACGCTACCGCTAAGCATGAAATTCACCTTCAACTGAGGACCGAGATGACAAGTAAGCCCCTTTCTAGACCATCTTTGAGCAATCTTTTGCTCTGGCAGAAGACATAAGGGGCGTGAATCGTATACTGGAGGTCAACTAAAAGGATTCTTGTGAAAAGCTGAGACTTGATTTAGAAGGAATTTGTAATTCAGAAGGAGGGAAGGAGCACTGGGTGGGTTCACCATTCCTTTTGCAAGAAGGAGATGGTGCAACGATACTCCTACTTTGCATAAGGAATCGTTTAAATGCTCAGCCGAGTTGCCGAAACTGGGTTTAGTCGCAGTGAATAGCACTGATTTCGGGATTCTTCACTACTCGCTGTAGAACACAGAACCCTGTTATTTACCCACCCAGCCGATTCCTACCATTGTCCAGTAACCCCGCGATGTTGCCCTCGTTTCACCGTTCCTACGCGAGTCATTTTTAAGGACCCTTTTGACTAGAGAGTTTACGTTTGCAAATTTTTCAAGCAACTCGACTTCAACTGCATTACCCTGGTTTGGAAACTTACTCCACTTTTTGTGTACTCAACAGTGCTAAACATTTGTTTGGCAATTAATGGACAAAATGCACGAAAACCAAGGGATTAAGAGATGAGCCAAAAAGATCGCAATTTGCGCGTCATCTTTTTTTATCAAGGATTTTATGGAAAGAGTAAAACTAGGTATTGATGAGCTTATCCACTTACTTCTAGTTTCCAGTGGCGGTCTGCACTTTTTAACCGGTTTTTTTTGGTACGGAACCGGTTCTGGCATTACTTGCAGCTAATAAACAGGTACTAGGATTCGACAGTCTTGCTTCCTCTAGGAACTGGGAATGTTATACCTACTCAAAAAGGAAACACTAATCAGAAATACTATTTGATGTATCTTTTAAATCTGGTAAGCTACAGCAACAATCAGTCTTGCTCCAGTGAGCAAAGGTCTAAGTTCAAAAAAAAATGCGGATCGATTCTTTCGATAGAAACTGAAAGCAAGAACGCAGCATGCTCGGCAGTCGATAACGGAGGGAAGAAGCTTGAAAAACTTGAGCTCAGAAAAATGTGCTACTCGAACTTGTCAAGATTTTCAGGAAGGTCGTTGCGGGACTCACTAAGCAAAAAGTCGTACGGCTGCCCGCAGCGATAACTGGGGCACCGCCCACTGCTTCGGAGCCTGGAGAAAAGTTCTTTGAGTCGTTCCCATACACCATGAATGCGCACCGTCGGATAATTCGCGGGCAGTAATTTATAAATACGACTTGGTTGAAGTCTATGCTTCCAAGTCCGTGTAGGAGCAGCCACTTCTCTCGAAAGAATCCGCAGAGAAGGGGCAAAACGACCTTCTCTTCAACGACGAAATCCTCTTCACTCTGTCGCTGATTGAGCCATTTCTATTACTTGGCTTTATCGTGAGGTCCTTCGAATCGATACGTGTACGTGCGGCATCACGTGCAATTTTCCAGCTACTCGAGTAGACAGGCACAGAGGGAGCTAGTTTACTCACTACTAAGCTCCTCTGATACAGTCATGATCCCCTGGGAACGATAGTGTGTGTGGGTGGGCTACGTTGCCAAGGCGGCCTTTTCCACCAATGATGACATTTTGAACCCTCAACAAAGGCTGGGAAGGCTGATCTGGCTGCACTTCAGTTCACCTTTCCTTCACACGCCCTATCGTTTGCGGGGATCATAACTGTATGTGTTGCTAGCTAGATGCACGGAAAATTTTGCGGTACTTCGATCACATTATCGCAAGGGGTATCCTTTTCAAAGGCATTCCCCGCGACCACAGCTCATAGGTAAGTACGGTTCAAAAATAGAACTGCCGTGTGTATGTTGACTCATTTGAAGGAGAAGGAAGCACGAAAAAGCGCCCGGAATAAGACCCTCTTTATTGCAATTGATCATGATCACCGGACGAGCGTAAGGTGGTCAAGATCAATTGTGAATTGCGAAAGGCGGCGATACACTGATAAGAGACGAGAGAGGCCAGAAAACGACGGGCGAGAGAGCGCAATGGCAGTCTCACAACGACACGGTCACTGGAGGCCGGCATGGCCTATCGGGCGC